CCGGTGTGTAAAAGCAAAGAGTCTTTATTTTATACAAGTTTGCAAACTCGGTCTCTCTGCATGTCCAGTGTATTGGAATAAATGGAGAGCCCCGAACTCAGTTAGAGTTGTGTTTTTATAGTAGTAAAGGAGGGAGTGAGGGATTTCTAAGGTTCAGGAACCCCTGATTGGCTGACATTTGTCTAGGGGCATCCTGGTGAGTGTGTGCTGGCAGGTGATCCTATCTACAACAGTTGGAACGTTAGGCATTTCCTTTGGATGATCTGTTCTTGGGTATTGCCTGGGTAGTCTCAGTTTGTGGTTCTTCCTGTAATCAGGCATTGCATCAGGGTAAACTACTGAGACTCAGGCCTCCATTAAACTTATTAATGGCTGAGTCCTACTCTGGCAGGTGATAATGGTTGGAAGTTAATAACTTCCTTTGGGTGCTCTGTTCCTGTTAAGCTTCTCATGGCTGAGTCCTACATTGGCTTATTCAGAGTACATGTTTTTTTCTTGAGAAAGCTTTAGTAATCTGTGTCTTTCAAGCAACACATTCATTTCTTCTAACTTTTCAAATTAATTGGCAAAATTGTTCCTAATATCCTCTGGTAGTGCTTTTAATGCATACAGACAGCCTGATAGCACCTTCTTGTTAGTCACTCCTCACGGCTTCTCCCTTCTAGTGAGTTTTCACAAGGCCCAGCTTCAAAACCATCACTGATGGTTCCTGTCTGATATTTATTGATTTTTATTACTTAACACTGGATTTAATTTTTTCCCGTGTATAGGTGGGTAATGTATCTGTGTTAGCGTGTGAACAATGCATGCAAGCATGTGTGCATGTCCATGTGTATATGTGGAAGACAGAGGTTGGCACTGGACGTCTTTCTTGATTAATCTCCCTCTTTCTGCCTCTCTCTCTGCTCTTCCCCCTTCTCCCCTTCCCTTCCATAACCCACTAAATAAATATCCAATCTCACTCTGCATGGCTTGCCTATCCATCTCTGTCTCTCACCCACCACGCGGCTTCCTGTCTGGGACCCGCTGTCCATTGCCAGCTACCACTAGGGACCTGTAGTGTGGTCTCAAGGTCCACTGCTCACTGCCACCACTCGGGGACCTGCAGCATTTTACTTAAACCACTACAGTTGGGCTCCAGGCATCTGCCTGTCACTGCCTCCTCAGTGCTGAGGTTAGACACAAGAGGCAGCATGTCAGCTCTTCTTGTCGCCTGCTGCTTGAGATCCACCTTAGGCCTTCCTGCTTGTGCAGCAGGCACTTCACCTACTGAGTCATCGCTCTGACCCCAGATTTAATTTCTTTGTATAGTTTCTTAAGGTAGAAAATGAAACCATTGCCTTAACCTTTTTCTCTTTTCCCATATACATTCTTTAAAAATATTTTTAATTAGGATCTGGAGAGATGGTTCAGAAGTTAAGCGCACTACCCTTGCAGAAGACACGGGTTCAATCCCCAGCACCCACAAGGTCATTTGCAACCATCGGTAACTCCAGTCCCAGGGGAGTTGATGCCCTTATTTGACCTCGGTGGACACCAGAGAAACATGCAAGCAGAACACTCATTCACATGAAATAAAATAAACACATCTAAAACATAATTATGTTTACTTGTGTGTGTGTATGCATGCATGTGTGTATGTATGTATGTGTGTGTGTGTGTGCATGTGCTTGCATGCCACGGTGCATGTGTGGAGGCCAAAATACAACTTGGGGTAATTGGTTACTTTCCGTTTACCCTGTGGGTACTGGAATTAAACTCAGGTCACCAGGCTCAGCAAATGTCTTTGACCACTGGGCTTGCACTGGTTCTTGTCTACATTCTTCATGCTGGAAACCCCTCCCTAGGGTGGCCTTTGAACTGGGCTTTGTTCCTTCTTTACTTATTTCCCTCTTCTCCTCCTTCCCTTCTTTCTGCAATACTGGAGGTTAAATCCAGGGCTTTGTGCAAGTTTGGCAAGTGCTCTACCACTGAGCTAAAACCATAGACCTTTATTTTCCCCCTCTTAATTTTGAGATAAAATCTTACTAAGAGGCCTAGGCAGGCCTTGACCTTGAGATCCTTCTGCCTTAGCCTCTAGAGTCTGTTGGGATTCTAGGCCTTTATAAGTAGCAGAGTTCGTTTTCATTTTAATAATTTTTTTGTTTCTATTTTCACTCCTGCTTTCTTCAGTTTATAGGCTCTTTGGAAGTACGCTATTTCATTTCTAAATATTTGGGTATTTTATAATGAATCATTATTATTTTCAAACTTCATTCTCTATTGGTCAGAGAACATTTGTTCATGTGACTTGGCTTCTTTAAAATGTGTTATCAGAAATATTTAATGTGCTACTCACTTGTATGCCCCAGAATATGATCTATCTTCACATAGTGTATATATACATATGTATATATCCACGTATGTATGTATGTATATACACATACATACACACATACACACACACACACACATATATATATATCATTACAAGATTACTAACCTATCACCTTGCTATTTGATTTTGATCTTGTCTATTCATTGGTCCCCTTTTCCTGTGGCCATGTGGTCTTGAATTCTAAAACAACTCCTGGAGCCCTTGGTGCCTGTCTGGCCAGTTGACCCATGTACAGCTGGCCGAGTAGGTGACCACTGTCCACGGTCCTGTGTAGTCTATGATTCTGCAGGAAGAAGCTGCGTGGGCTCCACCTCATGTGCCTATGTGGGGCTCAGAGAAGTTGTTCCTTGCTCTGAGTTTACTGCCATTGGATTTCTTCCCTCCTTCTGCCCGTTCTCTTTGTAGAATTGGTTGGTATTCACTTGTTAGCTTTAAGGTACAAGTAGAGACAAGTAAGTACAGATAGTCTCCACCTTAAAAAGGGCTGTGCCAAAACCAGTAAGCCATATTCTATATTCTGAAAGCTATATCCTTCTAAATTCCTACACTGAAGACCCAACCACCATGTAACTGTATGGGAAGATGGAGACTTTATGAAGATCAAATGCAATCCCAAGAGTGGTGTTCTTGAACTACTTTTACATGGTACTAGTAAGAACAATCAAATGATGCTACCATGTTGCTACATTTTTAATAAAATGAAAACCTTGAAATCTTAAAAAAAATAGTGGGGCCCTCATCTGCTAAGACTAATATCCTGTAAAGAGCACAAATGCAATCTTTCTGTGCAGAGTGAGGGGTCATGGGGCGCAGAGTGATACAGGGCAGCTCTACAACTTAGCTCCTGCGTAGGCACTTGGTTTTGGACGTCCTACACCCCTGGAATTGTGAGCGACACACAAGCGAGCTAACCAGTCTATGGTATTTTACATGGCAACCCTGAATGACCAAGTCACCATTTGCTTTGGTTTCCTACAAGTCAAGGCTGGGCTCCCAGTCTAGGGCACCAAGTTGCTGGTGTACGTGACACAGACATAGTCTCATGACCTTGACTGCTGGGGATCTTGGCGGAATGTGAAGCTCTGTATGCCTAGTTTTTCCTGGGTCTTAGAGAATCAACTTGACCTCCAATAAGGCATACTCTAAATCTCAGGGACTGAGCCCTTGGTCATGATGGATGTAAGTGACATCTAGAGATGTCACCCCTTAACGTCATAGCACTGTCTGCAGTCCCCAGTGGTGGCACGTCCAGGTATTGTGACCACATGCTCCCCTGCTTGGCTGGAGCATGCCCTGAACTGCAGTTGCAGACTAGCAACACCCGGGTCCAGTTTTGTCGTGTTTTAATGTTCAAAACCCTAGGAGCTCTGTCCGAGTCCCATTTCTGTGGGCTGGCCAGGCTACTGAAAATTATCTCCACGTGTCAAGGCAACTCAGAGGTCATCAGCACTTGAGGGTGCACGCGAATTCATGTGTGTGGAGGACAGAGGACACCATAAGGTGTGATTCCTCAAGTCCTCTCCACCTCTCTTCTTGTGTATATTGTGTATATGTGTGTGCATGTGAGACGATGCACTTGCGGGGTCAGAGGCCAACTCAGGTTATCTGTCTCTATGGCTCTCCACTTATTTGTTCGGACAGGTCTCTGAACCTATACTTTAGCATTTCAGGTCAGCCGGATCAGCAGCAAGCTCCAGGCATCTGTACTCACATACATAAGCTTGTATGAGCAAGCATGTTGCCCACTGAGCCCTTTCCCTAGGCCTACTTATCTGTCCTAGGCAGGGTCTCTCGCTGGTTTCGAACTCTCCAAGTAAGCTAGACTGTATATCCAACGGTTTCCAGGGGTCCTTCTGTTTCTACCTCCACAGCACTAGGATTACAAGTTGGGCCACCACACCTGACCTTTTGAATATAGGTTCTGAAGATTGAACTCAGGCCAAGTATTACTGACTGAGCCACCTCCCCAGCCTGTTTTTCTGCTTTTCCATGTGAACTTTGGACATACCCTGACATGGGGGAATATAGCTCTTCCTGATGCTAGCGGTCCTGTCCTGTCCACCCCCAAGAAGCTTCAGGTTCCATGCTGGCTGGGTCCTTTCCTGGTGGTACCCACGAGTTCTGGAAAGCAGGCTCACTTTCAGACTTCCACGATGCTCTTCCTTTAATGGGAACGGATGACTTTGGTCTCTCTGGGTCAGAGAAAAGACCACGTGACAAGGAGCTGAGTAAGCAAAAGGGACCTTGAATCTGTGCCTGAGAAGGGGCACTGGGTGATGAGCCTCCAGGGCCTGGCAGAGAATGGGCTGAACCCTCCCCCACTGCCCTCCCCAACCCTTATCTATCTCTTGCCTGCCCCAATGACCAGTGGAAAGGAGGAAGTTTGAAATACCAAAGTCCTGTCTCCCCCAAAATAAGTTTTATTCTTGCATTACATTTGTGTTTCCAATTGTGAATAAAAAATGGTTAGAAAGTGGTTACAAAACAGCGTGAGTGGGCTAGAGGAGTGGTTGCCCTGGAGTCTGTCAGTTCTTCGCCTGGATGATGCAGTGTGGGCCTGGCGTAGAGGCCGGCTCAGTCGGGTTTTTCACTCTCAGGATCTAGAAAACAAAATGGCCACAGCTCACTACAGGCCTCGGAGGCACTGGCCTCACCCAAGGCTGGGCCCTGATGCCCCTACACACAGCCCTGCCTAGGCACCTTTCCCAGGAGCTACTAAAATAACGGTAGAATAGCAGGGCCAGAGCCATGAGATGAGACAAGACTGTGCATTGTACAGCGCTCTATTCTCCGCAGAGAGCTTGGCGGGCTGTCACCTAGTTGTCTTCTTCTAAGAACAGCTAGTCACTCAGCAATGACCACCTAAGTCCAGAAAGACAAGGTCTCACCCCTGTACTGCTGAACCATCCTAGACTGAGCTGGCCTTGGAGTCGTGGGAGAAAACAGTAACCTTCAATTTCTGCTTCTGAATAGGGCCCATGCCAAGATGAGATACCATGATATAGCTGCAGGGGTTTGAGCAGAGGAAGGAAGCCTACTGCTGTGTCTTAGGACAGCCACCTCTAGCAGAATGTACCCCATGTTGTCAGGGTCAGGTCTGCAGCGCACATACACAAGGCTGTCAGTGAAGCGCTTGTTGGACCACTTAGCACAAGTCTTCTCCCTAAACCATCACCTTCCATAATGCCCTGGGCTCCCTAGAAGGCCAGTGCCTCTCATATGACTTTGGTCGGCGCCTGCCCTGCTCAACTCAACAAACCCAAGAGCCTGAAAGAGAAGCCCAACCACGAGGAAGGGGCTAACCAGGAGCTTCTAGGACCCATACGAACAGGGTTGTCTAGGATCTCGTGACAGCTCTGATGGGACTGAAAATGCACTCTGCTCTCTGTGAGACACACCCTTTCTCCCTGCACTTCTGAAAGCAATGCACATGCAGTCTGGCTTGCAGCCCAGCCAACAGTCTGCAGAGTAGGCTGCAATGCCAGGCTTGAGATAACGGCCTGGTAACAGTGGGCCTGGGCCACACCCAGCAGGCGCAGTGCTGGGAGACAGGCAACCCCACCAGAGGTTTGGCTCTTGTCTCCCAGCCCTATGAGCTCTACCCTCCGGGGGTACAGGACGCATGGCTGCTGGCTCCAAGCAGAGGCCAGGGCAGGCCCACCTAGACGACCCATCCCTATCTTTTACAAGGCCATAGTTTGGCTTGGTATGAACAGAGGGCAAGAAAAAAGCTGTCATTTCACAGTATTTTCAAGCAAACGTTTATTTTTCTCCTTCGCACATACAGTCTCTTGGAGATCCCATGCCACTAGCGTTCTCACAGTAGGAAAGGACTTGGGCGCGGGAGGAGTGAGAGAAGGCAGGCTCCCCTTCACTAAGAGGTGGGCCTGTGTGATTTTCAGACCAGACACAGAGAACAGAAATCTATTATTGCAGTGTTGTGGCCCGGCAGATGACTCTGCTCAGCCCCCTGAAAATTCAATTCTAACTGAATTGATGGAATAGTGTATTTAAACCAAAATAACGGAGCTGGTTCTCATGAGTACAGCTTAACTGTACAGTTCACAGCAGGGTCACCCCAGGCAGCCCACCCTCCAATCGGAGGCGTAAAACATTTGCTCAGAGGGAGTCAGGGGCTTTCATCTCCCCCTAGGACAAGTATCATGGAAACCTCCAGAAATGCTCCACCCCTCAGCAGGCAGGCCTGGGGACGGCCTGGAGAGGAGTTTGCAGGGAAGGATGGGCAGAGCACAGGCTTCTATGGAAACCATGGACAAGGAAGAAAGTGAGTGGGGACCCCTGAGCTGAATGGTGGTGTCTGCCTGTACGGTGCTCCTAACAGCCCGCTGGCTATCAAGGCATCCACCCGCTTGTTTCTTGGCAGGATCCTCACGGCTCAGCAAAGCTGCCGACCCTCCTCACAGGGAGTGTCAACTTCAGGTGGGCCCTGTGGTTCTGTTACTGAAGACACCCAGGGTGACCTCACTCTATCAAGGACTGAGCAAGGTTCATCCAGCATTCGCAGGTCACATTGTCAATGTTCACTTTAGCTACTGTTTGTAGGAAGGCATTTACACTAGCACTAACTATCTGCTTCAGATCTGTATCCCATTCCCATCTCTGCAACATAACACAGTGTAGACAGCAACACACATGTCAGCGGTAATGAGATCCACCTTTGCTGATCAGTGGCCTTTTAAACATGTCTTTCCATCAGGAAACAGAAAAGCTGGAATTCAAGGCACTGGGCTGCTGCAGGGGGATGACGAGGTTCTAATCCTCAATCAAGGACAGGCAATGGGGGTGTGAAGCCTGCCTGTGTTGAACTGCAGGGACCTAGGGGTGAGGGGGTCTGAGGCAGCAGGGGAAGTGTCTTCCTGCCCTCTCATGTCCCCTGGGCTGGAGTTCTCTGCCCTGTGCCCATGTGAAGAAGCCATGAGGAGGCCAAACCACAACTGGGTTCTTCCACATGCTTCCGAGTGCTCCATCTGGCCAGGGCATGGCAGACGGCTACGTGATGTGCAGCCGGGGGCCTGGCGTGCTGATAACAGGTGGCCGCAGGAACACCGGCAGCATAGGGACCTTAGCAGGGCTCTGACTTCCCCAAGCCCCCTGTGAGTTCCCTGAGGCCACCCAGGGCCCCCAGGACACAGGAACAGGGAGCAGGCCTCCATACTGACTCAGAGGCAGTGCACAGGGAGGACCTGAGAGGCTGGAGAGGACAGTACCTGGTATGGGCACAGGCAGGGCTGGGGTGGCTCCAGGAATGGTTGTGGTGGACAGAGGGCCGGGTGCTGGGGCCAAACACGGTGTCCCCACTCCTGCTCGAGGCACAGTTGTCTATGAGACACAGAAACAAAGAGGAAGGCACAGGGGGCTGCAGTCAGTCGGTCTCCTTGTGTAATCCATGTGTTGGTGTGGGAAGCAGCTGCCCTCCCTCCCCTGATCACTACACTGAGGTCTAGGCACCTGTGGGCCATATGCTCCAGCTGTTCACAAGCCAGACGGAGTTTGGAGAACCTGCAAGGTGTGGTCCACGAGTGACTCACACACTTCCACCCAGGTGACACCATGGCATCTGGTTTGATGGCCTAGGAACCACTATGTACCTACAGTAGCCCAGGAGGCATGTGGGAGCAGGAACTCTGAGGCAGTCCTCTGTACTCCCAGCCAGGCACAGAGGCCTTAAGAGGCAGGGAAAGGAGCGGTTGCTGGCTTCCAGAACCAGCACCTCTGATGTCAGGACTGGACGTGACTACAGTGAGAGATATCAAGAACTGGTAGCCTGCAGCATCTACACAGAAATAGTTGGGAAACCGAAGACAGTAACTACAAAGGTTTAGCATCCCAGTCCAGTGGACTTTGCCACCGCACAGAGACTGGAGAAGACACCTACTCCAGGAGAAGCCCCACTGGAAGGCCTATGCTGGAGTTCCCTGGTGAGCACCTGCCTGGCACATTAGGAGGCCCTGGCTTCTATCCTCTGAATCACAAACACACACATAACAACACACACCCCAGCCAGTGTTCTCCACACAAGGCAGGATGGAGACTCATCAAGCCCCACACCCTTTACAGAGGCATGCTCAGCAGTGAAGGCCTCCATGGAGCCAGCACCCGTACCTGCAGAGGGGGCAACGTCAGGCACTTCCCCAAAGTGCCTTCATACTTCTGGTCAACTGTGAGGGGATCCAGCCAAGGTGAGACAAGAGAAGAAAATCCACATAGTAGCAGAAGACAAGACTATGTGTAGAGAAACCCGCAGGAAAGGCCGAACAAGCAAATTTTGCAGGACCACAGGCTTCTAGGCCCCAGAATTGGTCACATTTCTGCACACGAGAAACATACAATGGGGACACGAAATTTTCAGGACTGCCCAGTTTGTAGCATTCCCAATCATCAACCACCTCGGGAGGGGTTTGGTGGGAGATATTAACACCCTACAAAGATGTAAAGAAACAGATGCCAAGTTGATGGAACACTCAAGATCAGTAATATGGCAAACCTATCCAGTTCATTGAACGACTTAATTCATTGTTAAGAGCAGCTCCAATGGGTTACCTTAGGAACTGCAAACATTTAGGACCCAGAAAAAACAAGAGACTCTCGCAGTTCAACAGTGGCTGTCCTAGCCCACCAAATAATAAGCTTATTACAAAGCTGCAGCAGGGCAATGAGAGTGCTGTTCCCATGCTGTTGGGACTGGGAAGGAAGGTACTGCAACCAGTAGATAAGCTATGGCCCAGACAACAGCTAAAACATCAAAATTCCTAGAAGAAAAAAAAACCCAAAACTCTAAGTCTTCTGCTTCATGCTCACTACCAAAAAGCAGAAGAGGAGGTTGGAGATCTGTGAGCGCTCCTGTGTGGAAGTGTGGGGACTCGCGCGCAGACACCTAGTGCCTGCAGTCTGGTGTGGTAGCACATACCTGTGACCCTAGCACTGGGGTCGGGCAGAGAAGGGTGGATGCCTGGAGCTCACTGGCCAGGCAGTCAAGCTAATTGGTAAGCACCAGGCTCAGTGAGAGAGAGAGAGATCCTGTCTCAAAAGAGAGAAGGTGGCGAGGGACAGAGAAAACACTAGATGCTGGCATTTGGTTTCATAAACATGTCTATATAAGCATGTGCACACATACAATACACTACACACACACACACACACCTGACCAGGTACTCTATAGAAGATGCCTGTTAAAGATAAGAACATGTGCTCAAAGACAAATCAAGACAATTAAAGTCTAGATCTCAAATTATTTTTACCATTTTTTTCCAACACAATATCCTTCACACAATATTACAACCTCACAAGGCAAGACAAGGAACCAAGGAGCGAAGCTGTGGGAAGAAGGAAACCAGGGAACCGGAAGAGACTGTGTGAATGACATGCATCACTGAGACATTTGGCTGAGAACTTTAAACTTTTTTTTAATTACTTGTGTGTGTGTGTGTGTGTGTGTGTGTGTGTGTGTGTGTCTGTGTGTCTGTGCAGGTGTCTACGAGGGCAGAAGAGGGTCCTGGATGCTCTGGAGCTGGAGTTACAAGCAGGTGTGAGCCTCAAGACATAGGTGCTGGGAAATGAACTTGGGTCCTCTGCAAGAGTCAGAAAGGCTAGAATTAGTGGCCTAGCTAATTTAAGAAGTTTTTCATTTTTACTCCAGTGCTGGGGACTCAAACCGGGGTCCTCACTAACACTAGGCAAACACTCTGCCACCAATTCACAGTCAAACCTAAGAATCTTTCTAGAGAACATTAAGCCAGAGAGAGAAGCTCATGAAATTAACAAAGCCGTACGATATCAGGACAAAAGGCATGAAGGGAAGGAAGGACAGACACACAGAGGAACAGAGACAGAAACACACAGAAAGAAGTGGGGCATAAATCATCAGTACCAGGAATGATACACAACTTGGGGATCAGGCAAACAGCAACAAAAGGCTTTAGAGTGATTAAACGGCAACTGATTTGAAAGTTTAGGCAAATTTAGGGAAGAAGTAGTAACTACCAGGGAAGCAGAATTTAACAAGACTGTCAAGACAGAACACTCAAATGGCGTTAGGACCGGAAAAGAAACCAGATTCTTAAGGAAAGCCTTCCCCAAGAGATGGACAGATGTGTGACAAGTTCTGCCAGCATCACCTACTGTAGGAGGTAGCAAGCAATATTCACAGCAGGCTTCCAATTCCTTGTGTGTTTGGGAGGATTCAAAGCATAAGTTCACAGAGGGATGTTTTCCACACTGAAAACAGCACCCACAAGATACTTCAGCCCAGATGGATTCACCCATGAGCTTTGGGAGTTGTTTAGGGTAGAAATAACACCAATCTTCCACAAATTCCTCCAGAAATTTGGAGAAGTGGGGACACTCCTACAGCTAGCTCTCCCCAAATCGTAATGTGCGCCAAGACCTGCAAGGGTGACTACTTGTCTTGCCTCATGTTGGCCCCAGTTGGATGCAGCTGCCACTCAGGAGTGAGGGGTACACCTGCCCTTCCTATAGTCTGGAGACAAATGGATGTAATGCAGATGGAGGTGTGTCTGTCCACAAAGGTGTGTGTCCTACTTGGGACTGCCTAAGAATTCTGCTGTACCTGAGTTCTAGGGACACAGGCTCAGCCTGTTCCCTGCTGGCCACAAGGACCACAGGAAGTCACTTTTACCTCCTACTCATCACAGGGGCAAAGGTTTTCTTTTCTTTTCTTTCTTTCTTTCTTTCTTTTTTTTTTTTTTTGAGAGAGAGAGAGGGTTTGTGTAGTCTTGGTTGTCCAGGAACTCACTCTGTAGACCAGGCTGACCTCAAACTCAAAAACCTGCCTGCCTCTGCCTCACAAGTGCTGGGATTAAAAGAATGTGCCACACCACCCAGCAAGGCCTAATTCTTTTGGAGAAGATGGACCCTGATCATGAAAGTCAAGTCCTTAGCATGATGGCCATCTGGCACACAGGATTCCAGCAACAGCTCATAGCCACTATGCCTACCATATCCCTCCCAGTAGAGCCTGTGCCCCTGCTCACTCACAGCCCGTGCCTCGCCAGAGGCCTCCATGTCATGCAGCTTCTGCGTCTGCTTCAGCTGGTTGAGTGTGGGCTTCAGCTGCGCCGCCCCCACCGTCTTTGTTGTCCACTCGTCCACCAGCCTGTGCAGATCATCGGTGAAGGTGCCTTTCTTGTTGTTGCTGTTGTTCACCTGTGCCTGGACGTGCAGGGTGGGCTGGGGACCTGGCTCAGGGCCTGGGGCCAGGCTGCTGGTGGAAGACCCTGGGGAGTCATATAGGCCAGGATTGGTGACGCCACACACTCACTCAGCACCACTGACAGGCTGGCCGCAGTCATTCTCACATGATGGCTGGGACAATCAATGGCCTCACTCTGGCCAAGCAACACCTTGCTTCAAGAGGCGGTCTGCATCAGTGGGCCTTGCTGCCCCGTGTTAGACACCATGAGGCTCTGTGTAGGCTATGAGTGACTGGCTATGCCAGGAAGCCTCACTTGTCTCTTAAGCCAGGCCAGGAAGACGACCCTGAGCAGGTGGCAGTCTCTCCCATAGGCCTACCACAGCATATTCCAAAAGACTCACACATGTGAGAGCATGGGGAACTCACGGCCCAGCCAGATACACATGGGCACTGGCATCCCAGGGGCAGGGGCAGAATCTCAGGGTACTCTCTGGCCTACTTTGTAGAATGCTCAGCACGCGAGTGCCACCACCAGCCTTCCAGCACCCCCTGGGCAGACTGTTCATTGTGCTCCTGTGTATTTTAGCTTCGAATTCAAGACAAGGAAATGGTGTCTTTTCTTATCCAAGCACTTGGAAAAGTGGTAATAAAAGATACCACACCTAGAGTCCCTTGGGTGGGCTCCACACCCTCCAAGTCACAGCTTGGTGATACTGGGAGGCTGGGAGCCAGGAGTCACTCTGCAGACTAGAGAGCTTGCCTGCTTCTCTGAGAGATTGTTTTTATAGCCAACACAGGACTTATTGAATGGCCCCCTCCCTTCCTCCCCTACCCATGCACGTAATTCCACCTAGCAATTTTGAATAAGCCAATTTAAAGTGTGTATACACATCACCAAAAAACCCAAACAGCTAATGACCATCTCTTCAAACAAGCTGTTCCAAAATGTAGTGAACTTTAGTGGCCAGCAATGGGAAAGCATAAACAAAGGGTTACACGTTAGTGATGAGACTCAACACACAGCTATTGCTACATGAGGTTTTCAGCCAGAAAAAGAAAAAAATGAAGGGGATTCAAAAACAAAAAGACAAGAAAGAGCAGAGGGGTGTGTGTGAGTGGCCCAGGTCGACTAACAACCTTCCAGTCTTGGTATCTCTCCTTGGGAAGCACCCATCATTAACACTTCAAAGAAGCACTGAAGCCTAAGGTTTTGGAAGGACCCAATTAATAAACACTAATATGTGGACGCTGCGGAGAAAGACAGGCCTATCAAGAAGTGACTGGCAAGATAGCACAAACTCTAGGAACCATGGAGACACAAAGAGGAGCTGGAGGGGGAGCAGCTATCCAGACAGGCAGAAGCGAAGCAGAACCCTGTGGGTCAGGGGCAGAACAGGCCACACGTCCGTGGGAGGCCCTGATACACACTAGCCACGACAAAGCCCATGCGATGAGAGGGGACAGAGGGGGTAAAAAAACCACAAAAACCAGATAATTACTACTGCTGTGTTCTTTGCCTAGGCAGAGACGCTTCAGGGCTGACCCTGTAAGGGAAGAACAAAGGACACAAGACCACAGGGTTAGGCAGAACGGCACACACCACATGGAAGCAAAAGTCATCAGTGTGCAGGGAGGGACAGACACAGGCAGCAGTCGGAGAGGGAGGCCAGCCTGGCCTGGGAGAAGGGGGTGACATCCCCAGAGTTCGTGTGCAGGCTCTTATGGCCTTCGCTGAGGAGGTAGAGGTGCCAGGGCAAGCCCCCAAACTTCAGGGAGAAGTGTTTTGTCTCTAAAAGCATATTCCAGAAAAAGAGAAAGAAAAAAGAAAAACCAGAAAAACAAACCAAAAAAAAAAAATTGCAAAGCACACCGCTTGGGTTTCAAACACCAGGCCTTTGTGAGTCCCACTGGTTGAGGCAGGGAAACCCACTGAAAGTCAGCCATGGGGTCCCCGAATGGAGCCAGGCTCAGCCTGGGCTGGCCACCAAGGCCACCAGAGGTTTTCCAAGTGCAAAAAGATACATTGTTTTGCAGGTCTGAGGCCAATTCTGGATCCCAGATGGCTGCCTTGGACTAGGTCAGACGGGCATCTAGAAGGGTTATTAGAGAGTCTATCTTGGGGTTGATAAGGATTTGGGGAAACATCGTGCCTCTTCTCTGCCAATTCACTTTCCCCACGGGCATGGGAAGCATCCTTACCGGACCACCACTAAAACAGCTCTAGCCCCACTGTCCTGAGTTTGTCTGGGGTCCCATGGGCAACATACAGAATGTGACATCTGGCAGTGTAGAAGGGTGGAGTAACCCAGTGACCCAGGGCCAGCCTGGGCTACAGCATGTGCTGTGATTCTATCTTAACCTATGGCCACTCTGGGAGCCACAAGTGGCAAGGAAGAGCTCAGACTTCCCCAAGGTCACTTGGCAAAGCCACACTAGCATAGCAGGTCTGTATTCCAGCCCCATCTCCCCTCTCCTAAACACATGCTCCAGGGAGGGGGTGCTCTCACATAAGGCACTGGCTCATAGGCCTGGTACTCTTGCCCTGAGGGATAGGATAATGCATAAACGCTGGCCACGCCCCAGTCAGAATTAGCCCGCGTATCGGACCTGAAGCCCAGCTGCAAAGGATTTATTCATTCTATGCAGTTTATTCTGCATGGTTTCTAAGGTTACAGTGGGGTAACGGCGTATTTGCTGGGTAATTCAATTTTCAAATTGAAAAAGGAGAGATCAACAGGAGGGATTTGGAATATACTGTGTGTTGTGGCGAGGGAATCTCAGTCTACTTTTGGAGGAAAAGGGGCCGTGGATTCAGGACCCAGTGGGGCTATTGTCACACTGGGTGGAATATGAGAGGGACTGCTGTGGTAGGCCCTTCCTGGATTCCAGACTCAGGTGACCATGGCCATCAGCTCCCATCTTCCATACGATGACCAGAGTAGGCAATGCTAGTCTCTGGACAAATCAGCTGGTGTTTGTCATTCTATGTCAACACTTAGGCCACACCGCTCTCTGGCAGGACTTGGTGCAAAGTCTCAGGGGAACATCCAGGACTCCATGTTGACAGTCCTGCATATCCCTAGATGGCTCCCAATATACCAACGGACAGGGTCTCTACCTGGGGCATCTGATGAACAAGCTTGGCCCCGTCACTATTATGCCAGGATAGGTACTTTCAGCCTCCTGCTACTCAGGATAGCACTAGATGAGCAGATCAAATCAGCCAGAGGCAGGATGGTTTCAACCAGTCCCAGCCTGATCTCCCTGAATATTCCACTTGTCCCTGCAGTGAGGTGAGGTCTCTGACCATCCTCTCCTGAGTCTCACAGTCACCACCCTGAGGACCTTAGCTGGCAACAAGGACTTCTCAAGCATGGCAGATACAGAGCTCAGGAGGAAAGACAAGGACAAATACTTAAAAGAGGGGCTCCAGCCTCACGTCTGTTCTCTGCATCCCAGTATTCAAATATAGATGAGGTTTACAGAACAGGCCTCCTCAGGGAGTCAGCCCTCCTGGTACCAGGTCCCCTATAGTCAGCCCAAGTGTCTCAGCTTCATCCCCATCCCAACCTTCCACAGGCCAGCTCTAACTACAGACCACTAGACAACCCCCCCCCCCCCAGCCTCTACCCAATTCTGATGTCAAGGGCTAATACGCCCCCAGAGCTGTTTCTATATTGAACAAGTCCTATTTTCAAGTGGTGACAATAACTAAAAACACTACCCAGAAAGCATCAGTTCAGAAACAAGATATCATGGTTTAGACTATCATGAAACCATTTTACCAGGCCTTGAATTGTACCATCCTGGGTCTTACAGAGCCTGGAGCCAACACATGCCTGCTTTCACATCCCTCCATGGTAAGCCTAGGCTACAGAGTGTGTAAGGGGTCTCCTGTGTGCCCTGCTGGGGGACCTCACTGGACTCTCTCACCACCCGCAAGAGATAAGAACAACGCAGAGAGGGGAAGAGGCTGGAAAGGCTTCCGAGGGTTCCCGCACCAGATCTGAGGCAAATGAGAACAGGATGAAGTAACAACACATTGTGAGACCTCATGTTTCTTATGGCACAGCAAGAAACAAGAGGTGCCCATGCCTGCCTGAGCATGGGTAGGATAGGACACAAAACAAGTGTCTCAATAGGCTGGACCCCCAGTTTCTCACCAGCAGACACCCAAGTTCAGCCTTGGGTTCTGACTTGGATCTTTCCTCCTCAGTTCCATGGCCACTGTTTTTTAGAATAAATATGGCTGATTGAATGCCACCGTCTACCATAGGAAGGGATATGCAAGTGAGCCACTGGGTCTGTGCCAGGACCCTGTCCAGACTGGGAGGAGGGAACTGATATAGGGTCCACACTCCCTGGAGGCCTATGATGGGTTTGAATAAGAATGGTCCCCACAGGATCAGATATTTGAATGCTTAGTCATCGGGGAATGGCATTACTTGAGAAGGATTAGGAGATAGGTGTGGCCTTGTTGGAGGAAATGTGTCACTGCAAATGGGCTTCGACATTTCAAAAGCCCAAGCCAGGCCTAGTATCTCAGTCTCTTCCTGCTGCCTGTGGATCTGGATGTTGAACTCTCAGCTCCTTCTCCAGTACCATATCTGCTTGCATGCTACCATGCTCCCCGCCATGATGATAATGGACTGAACCTCTGAAACTGTAAGCCAGCCCCCAATTAAATGTTTTCTTTTATAAGACTTGCTGTGGTCAATGGTGTCTCTTTGTAGCAAGAGAACTCGATGACAAGGCCTTTCCACCCACAGCCCAACTCCACCTGCCCCTTGTCTCATGTCCAAGCCTCTGGAGCTATCTGATGCTCTGCCTGACTCCACCTGAGACAGGTCCTCCAGCCCACCCAGTGACTTGAGCTCAACTTACCCTCCTGGGCCTCTTTTTCCTTCTCTGGGCTTCGTGGAAGCCCAGATATTTCTGTACTAAAAGTTTAAAGAATATTTTGTTTTCTTAGCGCCTTCTCTCTCTAGAAAGTAGGGGTGTCATACGCCAAAGTCATGAACTGATACTGTGTAGGCTTGATCAAGGCCACCCGGATCACACAGCTTCAGAGGCAAGCACACTCTAGCATCTTACCAGCCACCTGTGTACCCTGCCCTGAGAGCCCTTCTCTCCTCTCAGCCTCACGGCCAGGCTCCATCTCCCATCATTCATCCTCTCACACGCATGAAGCACTGCCCTCCTGTCCCCTGCTCAATAATCATACTCCATGCTCGATTCTCAAGGCCTCGCATCTCCCCTTGAAGACACTCTGCAGTTTACCCAGAAACCAGCACACAGACATACAAATGGATGTCTCAACGAGAGGCTAGATCCCTAAAACTCAGAGGCCAGCAGCCTGCAGGGTAAAAGAGCCTTTAGGGCTTCACTTCCAGAGTGCGCTGGCCCAAGATTCTCCATACACTACCACAGTGAGAGGTGCCAGAGTAGGGACTCAGGTAAGCTCAGCCTGGCAGCCACTTGTGAACACATAAGGGTCAGAGGATGCTGAGCCAGCCCAGCCTGCCTTGATAGGCCAGGCTGTGGACCAGCAATCTATGTGCAGGCAACGCAACAACCGAAACCACCCAACCAAGCCTGCTCAGATGCCCCCTCCTTCTGGTCCCCTCTCCCCACTGTTTTTTAGTCTCAGGCCAGTAACTCACAGTGAAACCAATGAACACCATTCAAAAACATGACCTGAACTAGAGAAGCTGCCCTCAGAGGCATGACTGTGCTTGCTATGATAAACCGCCATGAGCTCTGCCCTGGGCACAGGACACACCCAGAGTTCCTGGTGCTGTCACACCTAGTGACCATCCTCTTATGAGTTGTGTGTCCACCAGGCACAGTCAGGAGAGGCATCAGGCAAGCAGGGGCCAGAATGAGGCTGGCGGGTGGGTACACAGACCGCCTGCTGCAGAAATATGAGGGACACACAAAGGGAGCCCTCTCAGCCCTTCTCATCCTCAACTCAGTAACTGACCAGAAGCTAGAGAGACGCGCTGCAAGGCAGATGTCACTGTGCCACAAAGGGCAGACTACTGAACAGGCAAGAAGATGCTGGGAAGCCCCTGGCACTTCCACATAGCCATGTGCCCTTGACCCGTCCACCTGGAGAGGGATGGCCCACCATGGGCCTCTGATGCAGGGAGTAGGGAATGGCAATGGTCACCTACCACAGACATGGTCTCTGGGTCCCCACAAGCACAATGTATCTTTATTGTACAAGCAAAAAGTCATGTGCCCCAAACCAGCATCTCCAATCCAATCGTCAAAAAACTCTTATTTTCTTTTTTCAGTTAAAAAAAGACAAAAACCCTAAAAGCTCCACAACTTTGGGTTGATTTGCCAATCATCGTGAGGGTTAAAAACAAATCGCACCAGGGTGAATTGGCCCCAGCAGGTGAGCATTCCTGGGTACTAGAAACGTGTCCCAGTATATGTGAGGGAGGCTGGCACTAGGTGTGAGTCTGGTGGAAGGTGGAGGAGCTGCCTCACTGGCTTCTTCCCTCATGTCACAAGGGTCAGCTGAAGACTTACGGAGCAGAGCACCCCAGCTGGGTGGGAAAGAACAGGGACCCAGGCAGAATATAGGCTCCAATGTATAACTGTATGGAATGGGGCAGGTATCTATTAATCTTTCTGAGTTGGAGTGAGCAGAGGGTAGGGAGAGATGGAAGAGGGGACTACCCTGCATGGCAGGGTAGAGGGCCAGGAAGCCCTAGTTGGAACAAGTCCTTTGTTTCGCAGTTCAGGGGATGGAACCCGGGGCCTGTCTTTTGCATGCTAGGCAAGGGCTGTGCCACTGATTTATACCCCGGAGACCCCTGAAGCACATTCTTAGCATCTCCACATGCAGGGAGTGGGAAAGAGGGTGGAGATGGGGCTGGGTGCTGGCCTTTGGCCCTACACAGAAGTCACACCCTCCAGGGACATCAGAGCTGTCATCGGTCTGCCACATGCACGTTGTGGGAGTCCAGGTACGTGTGGAACACACTGGGTATCTGGAGAAGGTTGGGGTTGTCTTTTTGTTGTCATTGGAACTGGGAGACAGCAGACATGTGTACTGGCCACAATTACAACAGAAAACTACGTCCAACATCCAAAGAAAAGAAAAGAAAAGAAATGAGGTGACGGGAAGGGTGCAGAATGCCCTGGTGTACGTGGGGTGGAGGGGCCATGGGAGAGGTAGGTGTGCTGTTGCGCATGATTTTGGTGCCTGGGCGCAGCCAAGAGCATGCACACAGCTGACCGTAGCTGGGTGACTATGGACACTGTGTGCGGTGGGAAAGGCTTGTGGGGGTCCACCCTTTTACATGGAGGAGGTGACTTCGAGGGGCTGGAGTGGCATCCTATGAAATGTATGAGAGGTAATGAAGACGGGGTGGGGAGGGGAGAAACCAAGGGCCAGGAGGTGGGAAAATACAAAAGAACAAATACAGACAGATGGACACAGATACGGGTCCACTGAGGAATCGAGCACGAGGCTTGCTACTAGACTTATAGGCCCCTCTCTCAGACGTTGGGTGGTAAACCGTCCAGCCTGCAAATGAATATAAAGGGAAGAAAACAGAGAGACACTTATCAAGTACAGGTTGCTGCGATTCCTCCTCCACACCAACAGCCACACCAGCCTTGTAACTTAACATCCATGGCTCCACCTAGCCCAGCCCAAGCACCAAAGCCACTGACCACAGAATGGGAGGAGGCAACAGTAGGAGCAGAAGAGAAGCGGCCCGGAGGAGGAGGAGGGGTGGGGCAGGCGGGGCACCTTTATCAGTCACCATGATTTCTCTGGACAGAGATGGTGAGGACAGGAAAGCGCCTTATCGAGCAGCTGCTGCCGTCCACGGCAGTGATGAGCAGACATCCCAGCCTGAGAGCTGAGCCCTTGTCCCCTAGCCGTCCTGCGGACTTTGGAAGGACCCGGTGTTTACCACCGTCTGGCTCTGCTGTGGGAAGCGGGCAGGGCAGGGTAGCCAGGGCCTAGGAACGGGCATCGCAGAACACAGCAAGATGCCAGGCCCTGTTCCCTCCCCAGTCATTGGGCTGATCCCTCCTGGTCCCGGCCACTTCCTGAGGTCCACTTTAGCAAACCCATCACCTGCCTCTGAGCCGCTTACATGGCGGGACAATTCCATTCTTTGAGCCCAAAGACTACACCTTTCCTTTTTTTTTTTTTTTCCGGTTTGTTCTTTATAAAGCTTTGGCCCCCTCTACACACACAGGCGTGCTCCTGGGACACCACTGAGGCCCTACGTGGCTGGCACATGCTTGGAGACAGGCAAGCTGGAAATCACCTTGGCCACGCGCTCCGCCTCCATCACTGGCTAAACCGGAGCAGATGTCTGTGGACAGGGAGGCCCGGACGGAGCAGGGCTGCTGGGTCTGAACTGCCTTGGTGCCCGGGGGCGTGCTGGCGTGGGCAGGGTCCTTAGTGGGAGGGCCTCTGCTGGAGTCAGACAAATGACCTGGGCGAGGGGGGGAGAAGAGGTGACAGGCACCATGAGGCGCCAATGGGCAGGGAAGGGTGTGGCTGGGGTGGCTTCCTACTCTCTGGCTGGGTGACCTTGAGGAAGTTGAGTCTCCTTAAGAAAACCAGTGTACAGACAAGATCCTGGTCTAAAGTGCTGGGGCTAATCAAAGAAAGTATCCCCTTTACTAAATCCCAGTGCCATGCCAGACCTATGCTGTGCAAGTGAGTGGCAGGTAATAGACGTGGGCTCAAAGGAGCCATTGTGTGAGTCACTACAGAGCCTCCTCTTAGCTTTGGGACTGGCACTGGGTTTGTATCACTTGTACAGGTGGCTCAAATTAGGGAGTGCTTGCAGGTAATTCACTAATGCCTTCCCATCTGTCATATTTGGTACTGGAGCTTATGGATCCTCCCCACTCAGAGCATACCCTGCAGCACAGCTCTGGAAGCCTCAAAGGAACCCCAACATGCAAAGGGTATGCACAAAGGCAGCCACCTGATATCCACTAAGCAGGAGCTAATGTGTGCCTGAGTGACAGGGTCAGAGGAAGCAGTCACTTCCACCCATTCCAGGCTGTATCCTGCATGGAAGTGCAGGGATGGGGTGCTCTGGGGCTTCCTAGGTACAACGTGGCCCAGGACTGGCTCCTTCCTTCCATATGGGACCAAGGATTGGTTCTGAAGAGCCCCTATTTTCACATGGGCCTTTCCATCCGGCACTAGTGTGGAAGCCTGGGGCTTCCATGGGCTTGCAGAAACCCTCAGCTCCAGTAAAAGAGGTTCAGGAAAAAGAAAACCCCACACACTCTTGCAGGTTTGGAGATATTGCACCAACCCATAGCTAGCCTCTCAGGCTAACTTGGGGTCCCCCAGGACCCTCCCTCCTCAGCCCAGGTACACCCTCCCCTAGAAGCAGCAGACCTGTGCTGGAGGCCACGACCTTGAGCTGTTGCACCAGGGGGTTCAATAGCTTGCCAGCCTTCAGTTTGTTCTTGCTGGTTTTCCTCCTGCGGCCCATGGGAGGTGCTGTGTGGAAGAACCCCACATTGGGAGGGAGTGGCTTGCCCAAGCGACGGTACAGGGCTTCGATCTCCTGCTTCTGCTGGCTCTGTAGCTCAGAAATTTCCTTCAGATGCCTGGAGCAGAAGAGAGGAGGCAGGGCAGGTGGGCTTCCCCTGTGGGGAAAGGCTGGGCCACCTTGTCGGCAGGCTTTCAACAGCACTAAGCCAGGTGGGAGCAAGGTGAAGGACACAGTTCAAGTTCAGACATCCAGAATCATGACCACTGAACTGTATCCATAGTCAAGGAGGCAGGCATTCCTCCTCACCCACACTTCTACTTGCAATGAAAACCCTAGGTATCGGAGCAGATAGAGAAAATTAATATATGCCTTGAATCAAAACTTCCTTCATCTCTCTTTCTCTTTCTTTCTTAGACAGGGTCTCCCATACCCAAGGCTGGCCTCAAATTTGTTATGCGGCTAAAGATAAGCTTGGACAGACTCCTGATTCTCCTGCCTCGAGTTCCCAAGTGCTGGGATTATGGGTGTGTGGCACCATGCACAGCTGGTCTACCCCTGTTTATTGGGGCAAGGTGTGTTATTTCCGCCATGCAAGGCAACTGCAGAAGCAGGAAGCTGACTTAGAGGAGGAGGGACGGCATCACATGAGATTTGTGATTGGCGTTATAGTTCCACGTGATGGTTATGATGTAGGTGGAAGGCAGGCAGACTGCTGAAGTCTCTAGGACAGCTGGAGGGAAGGACGCAGTGGCCCCCCCATTGGGCCCTATGGGTCTCACTTGCCACCTCTCTTGCTACTCTCCTGAAGGAGCTGAACTTCACTGCACTCAGGAGGCCTGGTACCACCCCCAACATGGGACCCAGAATATTTCTTCCATCTCTTCTGTGGGGGAAACATGTGTTTTTCACAGTTGAAATTGGGAGGATAAATTCTAACCTCTCTCCTGTGTCTTCAATGATGGCCAATCTTTTGTTTCAAGAGGGGGTTTCTCTATGTACTCCTGGCTGGCCTGGGGCTCAATATGCAGCCTAGGCTAGCCTTGAACTTTCAGCAATCCTCCTAGCTCAATCTCCAGAGTACTGGAATTGTAGAAGAGGTTTGGTAAGCCTAGTTCTCTATTTTTTTTTTAAAAAGACTTTAGCTCAAAAACAAACAAAACCCCACACAAATAAATAAAACATCAACGATCTAGTCAGTAAAACACCTGAATGAAAAAATAAATACCCAACCCCCACACACAAATAAACAAGCAAACGAACAAATAAATAAAATACCCAGGATCTAGCATGAAGGCATGTGTTTGGGTTGCCAGCACACCTGCAATCCCAGCACTGGGGAGAGAGACAGGAAGATTCCTGTGTCTTGTTGGCCAGGCAGTCTAGACAAATTTGTGAACCCCAAGTTCAGTGAAATGCTAAAGGGGGTGTGTGTGAACAAGACTCCTGATTTTGACCTCTGAGCTCTTCCTTTGCACACAGAGCTGTGCATGCACACATACACACTAACACATACGAGTGCACACACACATGAGCACTCACACACACACACACACACACAAACCAACCAATGAACACCAAGTGGAGGTGGTCTTCTCCCTGCAAATGCGAAGAGAGATAGCAGTATTCCCAGAGGAAGGCTGGGGCTGGATACCTATGGGGCTGCTTGGGTCAGCGGACATGACCCCTTCTTCCAGATTCTGAGCACAGATCTGTTCTGGGGTCTCAGGTGGCATCCACTCCTGTACTTTCTCACCTCAACAAAAGTTCCACTATGATCACTTGGGATGACCTTGCCATGAGTCCCAAGACTGGCAGTCTTCATGCCCTGCCCTCCACACAATCTTGCACACACTTTGTAGGCTTACTGTCTCCTCCTCTCAGGGTACCTGTAGTTCCTGAGCTCACTTAGACAGCTGCAATAAACCTCTGCTCTTCAGTCACTGGCGGGGTCTCATGGGCCCCACCACAGGATCTCCCGTTAAAATCCACCTTTCCTCCCCGAAGGAGAGCTTAGGGCATTAGTGATCCCTGACCAGAGCGACAGAATGAGTACTCTCTGGGTGAGAGACAAGCCGAGAAGACAGATTATGAGATGGGGGAGGAAATCAATAGAGAGGGAAGGAGGGGAGGGAGGAAAGGCTGAAGAAGGTACAGGTTTCCTGACTCCTACCTAGCATGTCCTTCTGGAGGTGACAGAGGAAGGAGGGGTGATTTGCCACCCAGAGGAGTCAGAAATCATGCAGGTGGCAGAGCATGGCTGTCCCATTGCAATGATATCCTAGATGGGGCCTCTTTCCTCAGCTTGGAAGGCCGTCCACTTGATTAGCACCAACCAGTGGACACTTCATGGCCAGGACTAAACTTCAGCCAACATTACTGACCAGGCCCAGCTTAGCCAGATGAGCCCTCCCTAAGCATGTTGGCCTGTGGCCACCACCCCCACCCCCAGTGCTGGCTGGGTGAGCCCCACTCTAGCCAGATGAGCCTTGCCCCCAGATGATGGCGAGCCTCACCATTGCATACTGGTCAAGGGAGCTGTGCCCCTCAAGCTATCCAGGTGAGCTCCCTACATGCACACCCGGCGGTGTGAGCCATGCCCCCCCAAAACGTACTTTTCCCGCAGACTGCGCAGTTCCTTCTTTATGTCTGCGTCCTCGAACTCCGAGTCATTGTCACTGCTGATGTAGGATGACTGGGAGTGAAAGGAGGTGATGCTGATGGTAGGGACTTTGACACCTGCCCTGCTGGGTGTCTCAGGGCCCAGCGAGCCAGCCCTTGAAGACCTGTGCAGGAAGGCAGTGGCCTTCTTCACGAAGTCACTTGCCACACCGCCACTACCCGGCAGGGAGGACTGCTTCTGCACCTGGGGCCTCCTTCTGGGGCACTCATCTCCCGAGTCACTGGAGGCAGGCTCCTCAACGCCAACCTCAATGGAGGAGGCTGTCTGCACCCGCCGCACCGCCAGCTTCACATCAGGGCTGGAGGGGATCTCGTCCAGATAGACATCGGGTGGGGCAGAATACCGCAGGCTGTGAGGCGATGCCAGGGTCCACTCATCCTGTGTGCTGACCACAGAGAAGCGGCCCACAGTTTTGGCTGGAGAACTGCTGTCGGGCTGTCCTAGCCTCTTATGAGGGGACCCGGAGACCCGAGTGCCACGCATCTGGGCTGGGCTGCCTTCTGTGACGGTCCCCTGGCAACTCTGCACAGATGCAACCAAGGCTTCTCTGGGAACATTACTGTTCTGATCTTTGGGATCCATGTGTGTAGGGATGGAAGCAGCAGAGGCACCCTAGGAAAGGGTGGAAACGAAGCATGAGAACCAGCTGAGGTTAGAGAGCCCTGCCCCCTTGTGGCTAGCGTGTGTTAAGAGTCACCTTTACCTGGGGGGCACTGGGTGCTGTGGGGGAGTCTGAGGCCACCTGCCCTGTGTCACTGTCACAGCCCAGGGTGTTGCTGGAAGATGACTCTGCTGTAGGAACATGACAGCGTTACTGAGGCTGGAGAGAGAGAATAGTAAAGGATGGGCTTACAGCCCAGAGGCCCACGCGGTGAGAGTGTGGCTGCTGGGCAGGGAGGGGTGACATTCCAGGGGGCCTGAAGACTGAGAATGCATTGTGGTGCCCCTATCTTGGGGACATCACATCCTGGAAGACATCCACAAGCCTAGGGAAGGGAAGAGGTGTCGGATGGAGCACTCTTACTCTGGGCACTCTGACTTTGGCGGTTGAAACCGTTTCTAGATCTCAGAGGATGCAGCAGAGCAGATCCCAGCCCTACATCTGTGCGGTCTAGCTAGGGAATACCTGCTACACATGTGTACATACTAACCCCCCCACACACACACACGCACACACCACTCCCCTGTTTTCAGAGTGGGACAGTACAGTGTTTCTGCCAAGCTTTCTTGGGCGGCTATGAAGAGCTATGGAGAAAAGTCCAGAGAGAAGCATGCGTGAGCAGAGACCCTTTCACAGTGGAGGAAAGTCACAGGCGGGCGGGGGGGGGGGGGGACAGAGCTGGGTCACATGCTACAGGGGTTGGGGGTACACATATGCTAATGAAACCTCCAGGGGGACCGGGGAGCCACCACACACCAAGACAGACTATAAACTGACACAAAGACTCACACAAGTGTGCTTTGTATACGCTATATAGGAACCGTACATTTCTGGGAGACCTGAATCCAGTCTCTATTATGTCCCCAACTTATAGGCAAGACTTAATCCCCTTCCTCATCATTGCATATCTCCAAGGACAGAGGGACTCACTGCCAACTGCATTCCTTCTGTTTCTGTGCCTGTTATGAAGTTCACCTGATTGGACTTGAAGCATGAGTCACTCTTCTGGAACAATCCCTTTACTGCCTACCGTGACTTCTGAACTCTGAGAAGCATGTGGATTTGTGACTGCAAGTAACACTCCTTATATGATACAGAGGCTCTAATATCTTCTGTAAAAGATCTGGGATGCTGACTTCAGTTCGAGGCTGGCACTGAGTTAAGGGCAACAGAACAGATCTCTTAAAGCACTGGCCTAGGAATCAACACAGCTGCTGCTTGGGTCCACCAGGTGGAGCTGAACTGCACCTCTCACTAGCAAGGCAGTTTAGACCTGAGGGGCCACCTGGTACTGACAATAACTCTTACCTTGCCAATCCCTAAGACATCCATCTGAGGAAATCTGGCACCTTAGAAGGTGGATCAGATCCTAGGGTGGAAACTCAAATGTTTGTTAACAAACTATGTGATCTCAGGAACTTGGAAGGCTGAGGCAGGAATCAATGCAAGTTCAAGGCTAGCCTGGGCTACACAGCTATTTCAAAAGAAAAAAAAAAGGGCTGGTGAGATAATTCAGTGGGTTAAGATACCTGCCACCAAGTCTGATGACCCAAGACTCTCATGATGGAAGGAGGGAAGCCACGGCCACAAGTTAACCTCTGACCTCTATCTATACCACACAAACCATGAACCTAGGCAAGAGTCCCCCTCAAGGGGTACAGCTGCTGAAACAAGAGAGGAAAGCAGTGGGGTCTGGGCTGCTCCCCACAACCTTAGCTGTCCAGCTAGCACCCCACTCCCTTGCTCTTCCAGCTTTCACTTTCCCAGACAGAGCTCTTCCTTTGCACAGTGAGAGCACGAAGGCTCTGGGCTCCAGGAGGATTGCGGCCCCTGCAGAGTGCAGCTTGCGCTACTCGGACCTTGAGTTGTTACCTGTCATTGGAGAAGACGCACCCTGTTCCCGCTGGGTCAGGGCCCATCCTGCAGGGGCCGTTTCTGACTTTTCCAACTGGAAGAAGAAAAATGGAAGAATTGTGAGCTTGGCTTATCAACATCTTAGGTACTACACCCTAAACCACTGATCTGTGACCCCTCTATGGCCCCTCGCCTGCCCTGCCTCTTTCATATGAACAAATTGAGCTGAGTCGCTCGGCACCACACACCACGGGTGCGTCACCAAGGGCCAGCCAGGCCCTGCATATCTGTGATGCCTTCCCACCTCCAGTACTAGCCAGTGAGGGGATATTGGAGTGAGTAAAGCTACTCACTGAGGGCTGGGCCTGTTGGGTGAGGCTTGGGGTCCTGTCACTCAAAGCTGAGGGCAGGTCTCCTCGCAGGGGCTCCAGGGTGAAGTCTCTATCACTTGCCTCCATGGGAGTCCCAGCCGAGGCCGAGGAGGTGGGCACATGCTCCTGATAGAGCAGAGTCCGCAGTTTCTCATCCAGGCTCTTGATGGTGTTGTCCACGAAGCCCACCCTAGGGGGTGGCCCTTCCCCATCTGATTCCAAGGCTGAGGGTGGTGGTGGGGGAGCAGTAGGCCCTAGGGGGGGACTGGGGAGCTGAGGAGCTGCCAAGCTGATAGTTCCCACCGTGATGGGCAGCGAGGGTGGTGGCTGACCCTGTACAGGCTGTGCGGCCCCAATGGGGGGGCTGGGTTCTGGCACTGAAGCAGGCAAGGGTTCCCCTAGAGTGCTGACATCCCTGGTTGAGATGGGCTCCCCCAGACCTGCGGAGCAGCGAGAGGCTTCTGGAGCTGGGGCACAAGGTCCTTGACCAGTACTGAGGGGTTGGGCAGCACACTGGGTATGGTGAGTCTCGACCAGTGGCTGGAGGGTCTCGTGGATACTGGCTGGTCCTTGATGAGTCCCTGGACCCCCTGCCTGCACGGCAGTCCCTGATGCTGACTCTGACACGGTGCTGGTGGCTGGTGCTGCCGGGATGACAGTAGTCACAGGAGGGGAAGATGGGGCCAAGGGGACCGAGGCTCCACCAGGAGGGTTGCTGGAGCCTGCCTGGCTCAGGAGCTGCTGAGCAGCCGGGAAACTAGGTTTGTCCTTCAAGGACAGCTGGTCTGGATAGGGCACTGGGTCTAGAAGAAAAAAGGGAATGATTGGCATCACTTACCCTGATCCTATTCAACCAGTCCTTCCATGCCTACATTGACTACCTGGCTGGGGCTCCTGCAAACTCATCTTTGTTCCTCCAAGAGGCCAAGTTCCAGTTTACCATTCAGTTCCATCATGACCACTGTCATCAGCTCTGAAGGGATGGTTCTCACCTACGGATCTCCGATCCTACAGAGTAGCCTATGGTGTTCCATAGCATCCCTTTCCCACCATCTGGTTGTAGTACTTGTCAGACATGGTCTTTTCTCTACCACCTATCTGTCCATACTGTTTGTCTATGCTCGACAAAACTTGAACATGAATTTAGAAAGTGTAGGGGTTGAGGGAAACAGTGAGTTATCCATGCCCCAGAGCAAGGAACCTTCCAATCCATCAGATGCCCAGTGTTTGGTACATTCAGAACATAGAACTGGAAAAGAATTCGGGGAGTGAAGGACCTGGGGACTGCTGTGGAACAATCTTTGTACACTGTAAATATGTATTGCTATCACTGTTAATAAAAAGCTGATTGGCTGATAACTAGGCAGGATTTTCGGAGCAGAGAGAATGCTAGGAAGGAGGAAGGCAGAGTCTGAGAGGTCACCAGGAGGCACAGAAGGGAGCAAGACATGCTGGAGAATAGTTAAAGTCATGAGTCATGTAGCAATACATAGATTAATAGAAATGGGTTAATTTAAGTTGTAAGAGCTAGTTAGTAATAAGCCTGAGCTATTGGCTGACCATTTATAATTAAGTTTCTGCGTTTATTTTGGAGCCGGGCAGTTCCAACAAAAACTCTGCCTACAGGGGAGCACACGAAGACACAGTTCAACAGTAATTCTAACTAGAGCACCCAAGGCCCTAAAGGCAGTCACAGGGACTGTGATGGAAATTAGAGGGCACAGGGTGTGGTATGTCTCAAACCTATACTGTTTGGAGCTCATCATTTCTCACTTCCACTCACAGAAGCCCTGTGCCCTTTTATAGACAGGACATAATGTAGAAGACTGTAGCTAAGGAGCTGCCTCCATGGATAAAGTGCCAGTCATGCATAAGAACCTGAGTTTAGATCGCCAGCATCTACCCAGAAGCTGAGCATTTTGGCATGCACTTATAATCCCAGCACTGGGGGTGTGGAGAGACAGGTAGCTTTCTGGAGCTCACTGAACAACCAGTTTAGCCAAACTGGGAAATTCCAGGTTCATTGAGAGACCCTTTCTCAAAAAATAAGATGGATGCCTTAAAAAAGAAAAAGAAGCAGGGAGAAACCAAGAAAGGCTCCCAACATCAACCTCCAGCCTCCACACACAGACATATGTAGACTCCCAAATGGACATGTACAAACATCATACCTATGCATAGTCTCTCATACACATACAATGAAAACCACAAAAAGGCAGTAGGAGTAGGCTGGTTACCAGGATCCAAAGCCCCTCTCCTGTGCCCAGACCCATGCAGATCCTTCACCCCTGCCCCACCAAAGGTCAATAACTGACAAGTTCTCCTTCCTGTTGTCTTTATGGTACTGGCATGTCTTTAAAGAGCATACTTGTTTCCATGGTTTGGAAGGTTCTTCTATCCAAGGGCAGTGGTACAGAGGTGCCCTTGTCTAGCTCGGTGCACACCCAGAGATGTTGCTGGCCACAGCGAACCTCTGGTGTCCATAGAGGATGGTGAGGTACCTCCAAGGTGGGGGATGGTGTCCCTCCTATGGCAATCTGTCAATGCTCATGAACGTTCCTTTCCTCCTCCCTGAGGAAGTGGAAAGGCCTTCTGGTTGTGGTAACCCTTAACACGAAACCAACTCTTTTAATGCTCAAATACACAGCATGGTCCTGGCATGTGTAACCAAATGAAATCTTGGACCTGACGCACAGCCACTGTTTGCCCTGTCAATCTCTACTCTGCTCTCTGGTTCTGACTATATAGAAACCTCCTACAAGTAGAGCTGCAACGTATCTGTGCTTCTGTGAATTGCTTATTTCATTCAACATAACACCCCAGGCATGTTGCTGCCAATGGCAGGATTTCTTTTTTAGTGTTTCAATAACAGTCTACTTAGTATACACATTTTTCATTGTTCAATCATCTGTTAATATTCCATTTGTTTCCATGTCTTTGACTAGGGCAAATGATGTTGCACGAACACAGACGAGCAGACACTTCTTCCGGAATTTGTTTCCGACTCACTTGAACACACCCAGATATGGGACTGCTCAATCATGGAAGAGTTCTGCTTTTGACTTCTTGAGGAACCGGCATGCTGCTTCCTATAACATCTGCACTAATTTACACTCTCACCAATTGTACAGAGGGCTTTGCATTTCTCCACATCCTTGCCAAAACTTTCTTTGTGTTTTGTTTTTACATCTGGTGCGAGCACGCACACATGCCGGGGCACGAGCAGGGAAGTCAGCTTTCTCCTTCTACCATGTGGGTCCAGGATCTAGCCTGGGTCACTGGGCTGGATGACAAGCACGTATACCCGCTGAGTCATCACGCTGGCCTGGTCTCGTGTTAACATCCTTTGTGTATTTCTGAACTGTATTTTCGTGCGACTCAATGACTGCCTTCTCAATACGCATCATCCAGCATCTCCTGTGTGGTTTGCCTTTTCCTGTTCGGGCTCTTCATGTCTGCTGGATGGGGATCATTGCTGGTCTTATGTGCTGCTGGTAACTTCTCTCTGGTTTGTGTATTTCCTCATTTAGAGCAAAAGGCTTTAATTTTGACATCGTCTGATGTGTCTCTTCTTCTTTCCCTTCTCATTTTTCTTCCTTCTCCTTCTCCTCCTCTTTCGTCTGAGAGGGAGTCTCAGGCTGACCTTGAACTCACTAGATAGCCGAGGATGACCTTGAACTTCTCATTCCCTTGCTTCCCAGGCTGAGGATTGCAGGGAGCACTACCACATCTGCCTGGTGCATGCAGTCCTGGAGGTTGAACTCAGGGCTGTTTGCATTCTAGACCAGCACTGAGCCAAGAAATCCTGAAGAGAGAGAGATTTCCTCTGCTTTCTTCTAAAAGTTAGAGTTTTGTGCTTTATAGATTAAAAAAAAAACCTTAAATTCAATAAAATAAACTTGCGAGTATAAACATCACACACAAAAATTTTATATTTGATTAATAATTAATTTTTTTGTATATGATGTGAGGCTTAAGGTCAAAGTTCACTTTTTAGTCTACGAATAAGTCATTATTCAGCATCCTCATAGAAAAGACTACCCGGCTGAAGCAGAAATCATTTCTCAAGTTTGTAAAAGAACTGAGGATGATGCTGATCTGCTCAGTGACCTGAGGTTTTTCCCTTTGATATTTCTTGAAGAGATTTTATAGAACTGGCATTAGTTCTTGCTAGCATGTGGGGGTGTTTGCCTAGGCTTGAGAAGTCTTTGGGAAAAATGTGACCTATAAATTCTCTCCTTCTAATAGATCTGGGGTGGTATAACTTTTCCAGAGTAGATGAGTTTTAGCAATTGGTGGAGTTTGCAGAATTAACTAGTCCTTTTTATTTCAGCTGTTTGGTCCTTATCTGTGGGCTTGCTCTACATCTCCAAGGACACCCTTTATTCTTTATCTATATGCTTGTTTTAGTCCTGAGATTGATATTTTATTATCTCTTTTTTTGTCAGTTTTACTAGAGGTTTATAACTTTACTAAGTTCCCCCCCCCCAAAAAAGAGCCAGTTTCTGGCTTCACTGATTTTATCTGTTTCACTTATTTTATTCATTTTCAATGCTGCTCACTTCTGTTCTTTATTGTCCTGGCTTTGCTGTCTTTGGATTTATCCTGTATTCATGTTCATTTAAACGTCACCGACTTCTGCTCTTTGTTTTCCTGGCTTCACTGTCTTCGGACTTACTCTGTATTCATTGTCCTCCTTTCTCAGAGTAGAAGGCTGTCCTGTTAACTTTTTAGTGCTATAGTATTTCCTTGTAACTTTAGCCACATCTCAAAAATGTTATTAACACTATATTCTGTGTTCACTCCAAACTGTCCTGACTCTCCTTAGGACTATTTTTTTCCATCAAAGCTAATCAGTCACTCATCTCTCAGTTATGTTCTATGAGAGACGGCAATCAGTACAGTGTTGACGTTTTCCATGTTGGATTTCTTTTTTTATAATTCAGGGTAATTGATCTACATGTCCGAGAAAGAGTGCATTCCACCCACACAGAATGATCTATAAAGTCAAGTAGGTCAAGTTGGCTATCACAGCTGTTTTTTGCCTTCCTGAGAGAGGAATGTGGAGGTCTCTACTACAGCGGCAGATTGCCTGCTTCTGCTTTTAGTTCTGGTGAGGTTGTTTCCTGTTAAGATTTTATTATTTTGATTTTGTTTTTAAGCAGGGTTGCACTACCATATGTAGCCCAGGCTGGCTTCAAACGAGTGATCCTCCTGTCTCAGACTCCCAGAGCTAGGACTGCCGGTTTGTGCTACCATGCCAGGTTTAGTTCTGTTAGGTTTAAAGTTCTGTTACTAGACACACTCATGTTTAGGATTCTAAACGTGCTTTGGAAAGCGATCCTTTAATGAATATGAATCATGACTTTTAAGCACTGATAATTTTCTTTGTGCAGAAGTCTGTTTTGTTTGAAGTTAAAAGAGCAACCTTTTGAGTTTATCTCCTACCACAACCTTCCTTTTTTAAACTATTTTTTAAAGTTTATGTATACATTTGCCACATGTATATAAACCCCAATGTGCATGTCTAGTGTCTGTGGAGACTGAAGTTACAGGCAGTTTTGAGTCACTGTGTGGGTACCGGGGACCAAGCCTGGGACCTCTGCAAGAGCGTCAAGTGCTCGTAATCACTGAGCCCTCGCTCCAGCCCTCATCCACCTGCTTACCTACATATACACACTAAGTTTTCAGTAGACACAGAGGGCCTGGACTTCATCTCTTCTCTCTAGTGTGACATGTGCAACCTCACTCAGGCACTCCTGTAGGACGGGAGATGCTCTCAGTGGCAAAGGGGCCAAGACTGGTCTTACATCTGGTTTCTGTTCCCTACTAACTAGGATCTGATACATTTTCACTATCTTCAGACGTCCAGTGCCTTCTAAGTGTAATTTTCATAACTCATCAAGGTTTTTGGTCCTTCTCTGTGGATAGTTAAATCAAATTAACACATCTGTCACCCATTTTTCTACTCCAGCCCCCCTACCATATACAAACTTGCTGTGAATAGTATCCAGGGTCATTCAGCATGTAGATGAAGGGTGAGGGTTTAACTCTGTGCTCTTAGCCCCTATCACTATCCACTTAGACATACCACGGCACACTGAAATTTACCCGCCTTGTAACAGGGCTTTCCTTGGATCAGGGAGTGTGTATAAGACAAGAAAAATGGAATGTGTAAAGAGACCCTTATTTTGAAAGTAAGCCTTCCAGGTAAGGTCACTAGACCCTGGCTTCTCAGGCTAGGCTGAGCACATCTTCCTGGCCAGAAGATGTTCACCTCTTCCCAGTGAACATATCACTGAATTTTATTATTAAGATGACTTTCTTCCAGTGGTAACAAATCTCCAAAGTATGAAGGTATTCACCAAAAAATATGTGGTGTATGAGGTTGTTCTGCCCTTTCTAGCCACAGCATCTCTCCCCATTCCTACAAATGTGAGCCTCACACATGCCTGGACCATTCATCTTCTGTGGGTGGGCCTGTAGTGCCTCTAACAAGATGGCTGGAGCAGGGTTCCTCCAGTCACCTAGACAAGCGGGCCCTCTCTCCTGGCAGCAAATATGATAATGAGAAAAACTGATTTACATATCCTTTTCATGAGTGCAGCATGATGGGGAACCAAATTACTTTGTGATTAACTCTTTCTTGCCAAGTGATGAGGAATTAAACCTGAAGTTTGTTCCAATGATGCCTTTATCCTTCTAAGTATCATAAAAAATCAACAGTGCTGAAGGGTAGGTTCACAGACATCTGTGGGGATAGGCGCAGGCAGTCTCAGGAGCAGATGAATAGCATGTGACAACTGAGAATCAGGTGGTCTCAGAATCCCACCTCCCCATGCAAAGCAGGCTTCAGAGAGGCTGTTCACCGTGGATGTACTCCAAGGTGACAAAGACAGGCGTAAGGGTCACTAGGCAGTACCGAGTAGGAAGGGCCCAGAGCCCATCAGCACACAATCACCTGAGTGGTGAAGACAACAGGGCCAGCTCAAGCCAATGTTGCCTGGTGGCTGATCCAGAAGAAAACAGGGAGAAATGGTAACATGGCCCTGTCGCCTGCCCTGAGCTTTGGGGTGACAGTATGGGGCGGTACCCACAATGCCAGGTACCCAACATATTCTAGCACAGGGCTGCACACAGGGAAGCTTCAAGGCTGCTACAGGGGTGGGTCTGGGCTCTGTGTACTCCTACCTTGGCTGACTTCTGGCTGCAAAGAGCTTAGAGGAAGTGGGGGTGATGATTCAGAAGTGTCTGTTGCCGGGTGTTCAGCCACTGGGCAGATGATAAACCACCTCTTCCCCGTGTGCAAGACTGAGAAACAGAGCATAAAGAAAGTGCTGAGGGGACCCAGTATGTCCAGGCCCGGGGACACTACTCCTGTACCAGACCCCAGTAGGAGCTCTAGGAAGCACATTCCACCTGGAGTTTTTTCCGGAAGGAGTAGGCAGGGGATTTAAGCTCTCATTTATAAGCCTAAACGGCTTCATTTCACGACTCAGGTGACCCTTCAAAGCCCTTTAACAATGAGGTCTTAGGGAAGGGCTTCCATCTGCTCCTCTCAACCAGAAGAGTGTAGGGTGGACACCTAGACCAGGGGGCCCCACTGGCAGCTGCAGAGTCTCAGAAGAGCCTCATTCAGTTCTTGAGGTGCCTGTAGCACCCCAAGATGGCAGCTAGTGGGACAGGGAAGCCATTACCAGCCGAGAGAGTCTCATTACCACTCCTACAATCCTGGTGCAGTGGCCAAGGTCCTTGTTATGTTCAACAGGGACCTTCAGTCAAATGCCTGCTTCAGAGCAAGAGGGTGCAAGGAAATGAATGGTTCTTCCTAGGCTAGCTACTCGGCCAGGTACAGCTGTGGGGATAGGCTTACCATTCTGCTGATAGACAGGAGCGTTGGCTTGAGACTGTCCATTCTCCTGCAAGAGGGAAAGGGACTGCAGGTCAGCAGCCTCACTGAGAGCTTTTATTCTGAGCCCCCTGCCCGCTGCATCTATCAGCATGCCCTGGGGACCTGGGCTCTCACCTCCCCCATGGCCAGACCACAGGTACCCAGGTGTGGAGGGCTGGTCCCTGTATCAGAGCCATGATCAGCATCTGTGTCCTCACTGAGCATGTCTTCCGCCTTGTCCATGACATCCTTCATCTGTTCGATGAATGTCTCTCGCTCAGCAGGCAGGATGAAATCATGCTCTACCTGCAAAGGGGACACGGGACTGCTGATGACAACCTTCCATAGATCACGGGTGTATGGCGGCTCTAACAGGGATCTACATTACTCTATCCTGCCCTAGATCCCACAGAAAGACATGACAAAGTTTGTGTCTCCTGGTCAGGGCTGAACAGCCAAGGGAGAAAGTCAATGGCCCCAGAGACACAGAAATGAGGTTGAGGCTGAAAACGCTACTCCACACAACCAGATAGCCCCATGTGGACTGCTTTCTTGGAGCAAAAGCTGGTCAAGGAACCTCAGGCTGGCCCAACAATCTCCAAGAAAGATAGGTGCACTAGTACTGGGTTGGAGGGAGTAGGCCTAATTGGAACACAGCACTAGACAATGAGCCACAGCTATTATTTTAAGACAGGGTATCACTGAGTAGCTTTGGCTGTCCTGGAACTCACCATGCAGACCAGGCTGGCCTCTAACTCACCTCTGTTTCCTGCCTCTGTTTCCTAAGTGCTGAGATTAAAGGCACGCACCACCATGACTGGTTCCCCAGAAATCTTTCCAATTCATGTTCTTCACAAGTCATCTTCACAGGGCTCTTGCCCTAGAGGCACATGGCTCTTCTAAATGCTAAGTCCAGACAGATCTTTCAAAGTTGGCCAAGCTGGACTAAGGTGAACTGGCACTCTAGGTAGATGCCTGGGTCCTAGCCCTGTTGCTGTTCTGCTAAGAACAGCACCACTGTCTTTCCAGCTAATAGTCTTGGACCTTGGTGGCCAAGAACAGGGCTGTCCAGCATCCACTCATGTCAGAACTGTCCTCCTGGCAGGCCAGAACTGAGTCCAGGAGCCCACCATTCTGTAATGCCTCCACTGGCTGGCTCCTCATGGCCAAGGGGCTCTTGTGGAAGGACTGTCTTCCACCCATCACCCAGCAGTGGGGACAACAGAACAGCCCAGGTCTGGGGTGTAGGGTGACGAGAAGGCTTGCATCATAGCCTGGATAAGGCTTCTGGACTGGGTTCACCAAAATACTGCCACTGTCCTTACTTAATGCTCCTGTGGGTGACCTTGTGTCTTAGCTACCTCAGGAAAATTCAGTATTATTTAGTCTCTCTGTACAAAGAGCTCTGGAAGAGGAGTCAGCTGTCCTCTTTCCCAGGGGTCTCCAGTACCTGCCCTTTCTAGCCACAACATCTTTTCCCATTCCTACAAATGTGTAGCCTCACACACGCCTGTAGCCCCTCTAACAAGAGGCTTCCTCCAGTCACCTAGACAACACCCTCAGGAGCACGGCTACTCGCCCAGAAAGTGTGGCTTGCAGCCTGCACGTGCAGAGCTGCCTGTGCGTAGAGTGCAGTGGCTGCAGTCAGAGCACTTAGGTGTGACACAGGCTGCAAGAGCATGTGAAGTGTTCCAAATCTGTGCAAAACCAAACAAAAGCCCCCAATAGCTCCCTATAGCTTCCTGATAGGTATATGTTTCTTTTTTCTAAAAAAAGAAATTGAAGAGATCAAAATAAATTTGAAAATAAAACAGAGAAAAACCTAAAATTTCAGGGTTCAAGTATAAATTTAAATCCAAGTCAAGTTATTTCAAACATATGGTTTCCTCTTTACAGTGGTCTGCCAGGATAATGAGCCCACAACCCAAGCAATGGAGTGTCCCTCATGTGGTAAGGTGGTCCCAGACGGGGCAATGTTCATCTGAATAACACCTGTGATGGTTAATATTATTGAATCAAAGGACCTGGAATCACCTAGCAGACAAACCTCTGGGCACGTTTATAATGGAGTTCCTACCTTAGGTTCACTGAATGGGAAGACTCATCCTAAATGTGGGAGGCATGTTCCACAGATTGGAGTTACAGACTGAATACAAAGGGAAAAGCTGACTGGGCACCAGCATTCGTGTCTTTCTGCCTCCTGAATGTGGGTGCAATGTGGCCAGCTCCTGTTGCCATGACCTTCCCCACCGTGCCGTGAGCTAAATTAAACACTTCCTCCTGGCTTTTGCCAGTCACAGCCATGACACAAGTAACGAACACAGCACCTTAGTTCACCACCTACACCTGTGCTTCCCCTGGCGCCTCCTGAGGCCTCCAACCCTGAAGCAGGGAGGCAGCAAGGCAGAGAACCATCAGGAAGCAGGGACTGTGCATGGATCGTCTCTGCACACACATCCTGCTTAGCTGGAGAAAAGCTTTCAGATAACTTGACTTTAAAATATTTGATTCAATCCTCTACCCAGTTCATAAGAGAAAACACAAAAGAATGAGAGAAGGAAGGGTCAGGGTATCTAGAGGATCAGAGATAAAAAAGATGCAGTTTACAAAGCTCAACAAAATAATAACTGGTTGAGAAACTGTGCAGGGGCTTTGCATGTGTGTGTATGCTGGAGAACACACGCACACACACACATGAGAGAGAGAGAGAGAGAGAGAGAGATACTGAAAACATGTCATAAACATGTGAATACATAATTCCTAATCATTGTGCTGTGTGAGCAAGAAGGGAACGGCAGAAACAGGGTAAGTGGGCAGCATGGCAGCCAGGCTGGGGGACCACTTTAGGAGCATCTGCATCATTATTATGCATCTACAGCTCAGTCTAGACATGTTCTTGCCCTGCAGGTACAAAGATTTGAATTTGATATCCAGGACCCACACAGAAAAAACCAGATGTGATGGCATCCTTGTAATTCTGCTGTTTGAGGAGGTGCCTAATGAATAACACTTAAAATTGTCTTCTGGTCTTCACACCCAATGTGCATATATGAATAAATAACACATATGTACATATGTTGTGGAATGCTGTTCTCTCAGCGTAACAATCACCTCTATCTTAACAGAAGTGGTTGTAACTGCCCACACAAGTCTCTCCATCTGATCGGGCCAGTCTATATCCCCCCAAGTTAGGAAGGCTTTGGGAGATCATTAGAACCTTGAGATTCTGGCCACTCAGCTTCCTGCATCCCACCCACCACATGCCCTTGGGAGGTGGTGGTATAAGGCTAACTAAGAGCCACAGGGAAGCATCTAGTGATGTGGCTGTTTGGGGATCACCCATTCTATAAGTATGCCCAATACATCCTGCAGTTTGACAAACTAGCCTTGGGTCTGTTGTTGGTACCCTACCGGGGATATGTGGATAATATTTGTTCATGTCTCCCCAGGAAAAGCTCACATGACAACATAAAAAGTCACATGACACACATGTGGAGAAAACCCACCCTAACTGTGGGCTGTGTCACCTTGCAATGGGCTGGGCTATAAGGAGGAAGGCTAAGTGTGGCTTTCACTTCTCCCTATTTTCTGACTGGAGACAATGTTGCAACCAGCTGCCTCATGCTTCCCCTGTGGTGACTTCCCCATCAGGTGGACTGTACCCTAGAAACGTGAACCAATCAAATCCATCCTTGCTTATGTCATTTTTGTCAAGACCTGAGAAATTCTCTCGCACCCTGTCACAGGTACCCTGTTTGGTGGGGTGTCTGTTAAAGTCTTCCCATAGTCTGCCTTTACCTTACAGTGGGTTTATATAAAGATAATTTCAATGTGAAATTCAAAAAATCATCCTCATTACAGGTTATCTGTAATAAATTTAAGTGAAACACACACACACACACACACACACACACACACACACACACACACAAAGTCAAGAGAGGTGTGTGGTCTCAAAGTTTGGGTAATAGAGTAAGGACCTTTTTAGAAACCGGTCAGATACTTTGTCTGAGGGTCCCTCTCTAACCGAACCAGATACAGGCATCTCCTATACTCCTCTCCAAGCCTTGGGCCTAATTCAGTTAGAGCAAGAGTCCCATTCAGTCAGTCAAGGGAGAGACCCCCGGCCGCCACGTCTGACAAAGATCCTTGTCACCAACTTTGATGTTGAAGCCTCTGACACGTCCCCCACAAAGATGAGGTTAATGGGGGAGCAGCGGTTTTCCTTTGGCTACAGAGTGTCTGATGTCAGTTCTAGAAGACTGACAGCTGTAGAGGCACCTTTGAAGTCAATGAGATGAAGGCAGGGCTCACCCCAAGTGTGGATGGGCATCTGTTCCAGGCAGGAGAGGGCTAGGTGACCCTCTCTGACCATCCTGGACATCATTGGCTGGAACACAGGGCACACACGCTCAGTGTTCTCACAACCTGACCATCCAGTTGGCCTTGGCATTCTGGTGTTTTCCTTACTTTCCTAATCCTCACCCTGTTCCTGGGCGGTACATCCTGCTCACACACATCCCTGGCCCCATTCCTGCTTTGTCCAGAGTCGAATCTGTCCTCTGTGGTCTACTGAAATAGCTCTGGCCAGCCTTCCCAACTATGGTGGCAGGCATCAGAATCATCTTTTCTCTCACCCTGAGAGGACTGTGGTCTGCCATGGCCTGAGGAAGAGCTTGTCAGAGGAATCTCTGTGGAGCAGACAGCAGGATTTACCTGAGAAACTCATATCCACACTGAATGAAGCCAGGACCAGGGTGGCCAGGTGATATAATGGCAGGGTCACTTCCTACTGACATCTAACTAAGTTGTTTGTGCAACAGTCACTAGTCAGTGGGGCTATTTATACTATTTTAAGTTAAATTTCATATTCCCTTACATAGTTACACTATCCTACTAGATATACTTGTATGATGGCCCAATGCCAGCTGCTTCCTTAGGAACACATGAACATATGTGACTGAAGGTCTAGGACATGTCCCACTGTAGGACGTCTGTGGGCACAGATAGTTCAGGGAGTCTGGTAGATACGGATGGGTCCTTCCTGCTGTGTCTTCTGTCATCATAGACAGTTTGAGATCCAAGTTCCCCTCTTCTGGCAGAGCTAGGTGCTGGGGACAGAGCAGTATTTCTTGGGAATGTAGACAAGGAATCTAAAGTCTGCAGGTAAGAAGGAGTTCCCAGGGGCTCTCTCCAGCAGGATGGGCTAGCGCCAGGTGGAGGTGCTGGCAAAGCTACAAGGATCAAGGACGGAGTCATGGCCTGGGTCTATACTTCCAGAAGCTGGGGAGGCCAGCAGACAACTCTAATAGGGAGCACAGGACCTTAAACACTGGGAACACATTTTTCATTTGCTTATCCGGGTCACTCAGCAAGTTCCTCCTTTTCCTCAAAAGGACAGGAAAAGGTGTGGCTAACATCCCTGAATTGTCCTACACAGGAGTCTGGGGAAGGAACCCACAGAAACCCCCTGTAGGTGATGTTCTACCTGGATACCCACAGTTCTGGGGATAGCTGTTAGGCTCTGGGCCTAGCACTGGCCACCCAAACACCTCCATGCAGGACTGAACTCAACATGTTAATTCCTACAAGGATCTAAGGACCTCAAGGAGGTGGCCTCATCCCCTGACCCAGCCTTACCATGTATGTGGCGATCTCATCGGGAGCGTCCCCGTCAAGATCGAACTTGAAGGTCACCATCTTATGGTTATGCGTTTCCAGCTGACACTCCACCATCTTGTCCCCCGTGTTACACACCTGCAGGAAGTCACGATCAGATTGCAGAGGACTTCACACCCATGTACCCCAAACCACAGCCACTCACATTCAGGATAGTAAGCCGAGGCCGGCTGGCCCTCTCCTGCCGGGAGCGCGCACGAGTGGACCTACGGTGGTGTTTCCGGGCAGCCCTGCCCTCCAGCCTGCCCCCTCCAAAGGTGCCTTCACAGCTATCACTCAGGTCTCTTCCAGAGGTGACATCGGAACCTCCAAAGCTGAGGGGAAAACCAAAAACTTTAACAGCACACCCGGAGAACCAGAAAATGCACTCTAGTCAGTCTAGCCTTGGGGTTTTAACTAAAGTTGGGACCTGCAGAGATGGCATCCAGCCTACAAGGGGATCCCAAGATACTCTTCCTTCAGTACCCATCCTGTACCACCCATACATTCCCTTTGGTGGGTTGTATGGCCTGATTCTCTAGGCCCTTTGCCTGTGAAATGGGTCTAACATGCCTCATTTCCCCCATCTGAGCAAACAAAGAACCAGGAGCTCTGAGCTGTTGTGAGGATGTGGAGTCTGCTAAGCTGCCTGCACCCACAATATTCCAGTCCCCTGGGATGACAGGATCCATACCCACCTCTGTAAGAATGGCACTGCCACCCTAGAACACAGGAGAAGTCTGAATACCCGGACCTAGGCATACCCGAGGGCACTGAAGCTCTGCCCACGGCCTTCCCCTTCCGGAATGTCCTCAGCACAAGGATTAGTGCCAAGACCCACAGCTCGGCAGGGACCAACAATAACCAGAACCCAACCTGGACTGACATAGACTAGTGCCAGGCGGCATACCTCAGCAGGGGCTGATAACAAGCAAGAGGTCCCTGAGCCATTATTGGGTCAGATTTGGAAAAGTGGGGGTAACACCTATTAAAATCCTGGCAAACTGGGGCAGGACCTGAGCAAAAATGCCAAGCAGTGCTGGGCTGGGCTGAGCTGGCTGCTGAGCCTGTGCCCCCACCCCCCACCCCCACCCCCTGCCAACCATCCTGAAAAGCAAGGGAGAACAGTACCTCTCACTCGTTGGTGGGGGGCCGGGGGGTTTGTCTTGCGAAACCTGCTCCTAAAATAAGAAGCGGAGTACAGAGAACAGGGTTACATTGTGCTGACCTACCTTGCCTCGCCTCGGTGAGGTCAGACACAGCATGCAGCTGCCTCCCCACCTCCTCTGAGGCTCTCTCCACACAGGGCCCAGTGAAAGGCTTAGAGGCAAGCAGATTCCTGAAACCCAGGGTGGCTTCCTTCCACAACCCTCCACAAATCGCTAACCTACTTTGATCATTCCCCCGAAAAGGACACACAGGGTTGTGAAAGCCCTGGGCAACCTGTATAAACTCTCTGAGGAAAACCCATTTCTGAAATTCACGCTCTCCCTCCTGATGTGGGCTAGTGTAGACAAAGAGGCGGAGTAGCTGTCCCAGAGCACACTGTGCCTCCCTCACTGCTCTAGCTGAG